TCATGTTATTCACAACTATATGATTGTAAATATGTACATTTTATGAGGCCCACAGGGTAGATTGCCTTTGTTGCAACTGTGTAGCCTCTTGAAATAAAGTCTTTATTATTATTATTATTATAATAAAAACATGCATAACACCATGATCCCAATTTATAACACATATTTAAATGTTTTTATTGTATCTACTGTCTAAGTCGATATATTGTCGATATTCGTCTCTCGTTATATCATTTATGCAAAATTTTCCATCAATGACAGCCCTAGTGTACAGTTAATACTCATTTGAAAACACTGTAATGTATTTTTTACGACAATATTTCTTAATATTTAGAAGAAATGACATTTTCGACAAACTGATGTACTAACAAAAAAATAAACGTATAAACGTATTTAACTTTTATTTTACTTTGGAAACGTATTTAACATTCGCCTGATGTCTGTAAGGTGGAAAACCTTCAGACATATGTCAGATGTAAGATATAATACAATACATGATAATAGTTCAACCTCGGTTAGCTGTAACTACAGATCTCTGGAATAAATGTGCTGGCCCTCCTAGATTGAGCAAATATATTTCAATCTTACACTAAACTAAACAAATTTTCTTTTTATTATATGCAAAGAAACGTTTTAAAAAGACTTTAAACCTAATACTGAATGAAAAGCGCGCCAAATAATAATACAACGTGACGTCATTTACGACGTCACGTCATTAAGTTGGTACCCAGTTCTGTGCACGCTGGTATTTCACTGAAACAACGTAAGGGGCTTAAATTCAAAACAGTGAAATTATCAAAGTGGTAATTTCACTGTTTCAAACAGTGAAATTACCAGTTTTATATCACTGATATATTTCTATAAACCACCGAAAAGCATGTAATAAATAATATTATCCAAGCATTTTCAAAATACAACTTCAGTTTTCATAGCCTACCTATCAGGCCAGGAAAATTTAACCTTAAAAGGAATTTAACCTTGGAATTTAGTAACTTGAGATATTTAGCTTAGCTACCATGTACTGACATCAGGCAATCACTGAAGATCATCTCTGAGAACAAGTGAGCTAAAATTGGTTAATTAGTATTGTAATGCCCTTGAAATTTTACCTTTTGTGATTTCACTGAATTTCAGTATTGTTTATTTCTACTTTCACTTTCATTTTGAGAATTTTTACTGGCGCAAACACAGTAAATCATGTGGTGTCCTAATGAAACTTACAGGACATCAAAGTTAATCTACGTGCCAGCAATTTAATCCTTCCTGATTCTGGAAGCTTTTCTTTGAATGTTCTCCTTGGTACTGTAGAATCCTGTGTGTTTTATCAGTGTTTGTGACTTCTGTCAAAAAAGTTAATTCCTTTATTTCACACTAAAGATGTTAAAGTTTGGTTGTATATGATGCAGCTACAATTAATATGTAAATCTACGTTATAAATTCATCGGAATTTAATTGCAAACATTGCATACTCGTATTTATGATAAATTGTAATGCACTTTTCCATGTCGGCCATGTTGGACTATAACGTCTACTGCTATTACGTAGCAAGGGATAGTTCTTTATCCTATGATAATAATTTGTTAACTTATATAGTCACTTAGAAAATGTAATATTTTAATGTGATTATTCTTATTATAAGTTTTGATGTATATACTGTTGATGAGGTGCCTATTTTTGGCGAAGAAGATATCCCATAAAATTATTGTGGAGCCCACAGAAAAAGCTGTGGAGCATTCCTTCCACAAGAAAAGCTGTGGGACGTCTTCCCACGAAAAAACTGTGCAGCCCACAAAATATCTTTGGAGCGTTCTTTCCACAAAGTTGTGGAATGTGTGGGGACTGTGGCATATAAATAGCCAGCTTTCCTTCAGTCAGGAGCTTCAACACCAAAATTTAACTGTGTGCACCGTTTTGGCTATTTCTTCAAAATTCTCTATACTTTGGCATTTATTCGAAATTATTCAGGTGCACAAAGTTTTTATTAATTTATCTTTGATGTTTTAAGATTTGACATTATTTTTGTGAATTTTAAGTTTTGTTTTGATTAGAAACTTTATTGAGGGAACTTGAGATTGTAACTTAAAACAATATTTTTATGTGGATCTTACGATTTTTGCGACATAATAGCTGACAGTTAATTTATATATTTGCTTGATTAAGCTGTTTAATAAAACTTTAGAAACTTTAAAAGGTATTTGTAATTTTTCCCTCCTTAATTTCCTGACGTTGAGGTTCAAACTTTATGAATGCTCTGCAGACACTAAATAAGCAGATGACATGTAATGTAATCACGGCGAGCAGTCAAAAAAAAATAACTGTCTACATAAAAACAACACACAGCCATAGAGGGCAGTTGCTGTCTTCATAATCAAATATTGCTTTTACCTCATTCTCATACTGATAGAAGAGATCACCATCATTCCAACACAAACTTCTGTCTGAAAAATGCCATCTGAAACTGTAATAATACTTAATGGAGAAATGGGTAAATACAGAATCAGATGTTTTAAAGAAAACCACAAAAGAAAAATGACTATATATTGACTATATATATATATGACTAATATATTGGCCAAATTTTGTACCATGAATTGTTTAATAGGTATAGTAGCAGGAACTTTGCCCGAGGATTGAACTAAGGGCCACTGGATAAATAATCTGATGCTCTCTCTATTGAATGTCCAACTAAATACATCAGTTTAATAACAAAGTTTTAGAAAATTTCTTAAAATTGAAACAAAAACATTGTTGAAGATCATTTTAAGCATTGAATTATTAAAGATAACGTTTAACGGCGACACTTTAATTGCTGCAAAGTTATCACAATTTAAGCACATTTCAATAATTTGAGAGTACTAATGACTCCAGTTTTGTTTTGTTTGGCAGAAATTTGTTGATGGATAATGTCAAATCATGAAATGAAATAAACAAAATTGCCTGTCCAACATTATCACAACTTGAAACCTGAAAGCCCTGCAAATTATCCTATTATATAAATATTTGAATATTGTTTACTGGGTTCAAAATAGACACCATGCTATTTCTAATGTCTGGACAGATAAAAATTCTTATCAACAGTTAATAAATTCAATTAATGTCTCCCGTTATTTAAGTGTGATAAATTCTTACCTGTACTTTCTTCACATTTCATAATAACATGGATTATAAAATATGTCTGAATAGTTGGTCAAGGGATCAAAATATGAGTTGTCTCCCTTCCACTGATTATACATGTATATATGTAACTTCTCCTTCTCAATCCTGAAGTCAAGTAAGGGATTTCCATGGAAAATAAGAGGCTGGAGTATTTGGAACAAAATTTTCCAGCCTTTTCCAGCCTGAAGCTGAGAAAAAAATGGGCTGGAAAAACAGGGAAAAAACATGGAACATTTTTCCATGCTGCATGGAATATTTTCCATGTTTTCCATGGAAAAGCATGGACTTTATTCCATGCTTTTCCATGTACATGGAGTATTGGAACAAAAGTATGGATTTTTTTCCAGGGTATTCCATGTGTCTGCCAACCATAGAGGCTGGACTTTTTACCATGGTAAATAGTCCAGCCTTGATGGAATAACATGGAAAAAAATCCAGCCTAATTCCAGCCTCCCTGAATGTTCTTAAAATTTTAAAATTATCTGACGGAATTCAGCACAGGAATGTTTGGGGTGGAATTTTTATTAGTTTAACATGATCAAATATTTCTTTCACAAAAATTTAATACATATCCTTTAGTCCAAATACAGAATAGAACATCCTACATTCACTATAGCACAAACAGTTTTTTTTCTAGCTGCAGGTTTGGTAGCTAGGTTCATGTTGACTTATAAATTTTAGCAATTATTTTGCTCTTAATCTGTCAATGAGAAACTGTTTTAATCTTAAATTTGTTTCAAGTGTTTCTGATTATTTAAATTACTATTTCTTTTATTGATGTCCATTTTTAGTCCTCTGCCTGTGTTTCCTAGAACTTCTTGTGGTTGTGCTCACCTTTAAAGATAAAATTCATAATAAATTTAACACAGATGTGGTAATGACTTATGTTTTATTGCATATAAATATTATGCAGTTATATATCGTATCTTTTAATAACATCAAATCTAATGTTTCAAATGTATTAACTATTAAATATTAACTATGCTTATGCATATTCAAAAATACTAAAGCAATGCAGTATATCTTATTTCAAAGTGCACAAGTGTTTAAGAATTTCTCTGTACATGTATAAGAACAAGATATGTTTGTAAAACATGTATGCCCCCTATCAGCAGCCAATTAGTCATGTGATAAGGTTATTATGCATGACTTCTGACCCAGTGATCAAACAATTAATAAGGGTTATCAAGTATCTACTGGTCATGACCTTAACCTTTGACCCCTTGACCCAAAACTCAATAGGGGTCATCTGCTGGTCACGACCAATCATCATACAAAGTTTGATGTTCTTAGGCCTAAGCGTTTTAAGTTAATTGATCGGAAACCGTTTTTACCTTCAAGTTCAATGTGACCTTGACCTTTGACCCCTTAACCCCAAAATCAATAGGTCATCTGCTGGTCATGACCAATCACCATACCAAGTTTGAAGTTCCTAGGCCTAAGGGTTCTTTAGTTATTGATCAGAAACTGTTTTAACATACAAGGTCAATGTGAACTTGACCTTTGACCCCAAAATCAATAGGGGTCATCTGCTGGTCATGACCAATCACCATGCCAAGTTTGAAGTTTCTAGGCCGAAGCGTTCTGAAGTTATTGATTTGAAAGCATTTTTACCTACAAGGTCAATGTGACCTTGCCCTTTGACCCCTTAACCCCAATATCAATAGGGGTCATCTGCTGGTCATGACCAATCACCATACCAAGTTTGAAGTTCCTAGGCCTAAGGGTTCTTTAGTTATTGATCGGAAACCGTTTTTACCTAAGAAGTCAATGTGACCTTGACCTTTGACCCCTTGACCCCAAAATCAATAGGGTTCATCTACTGATCATGACCAATCACAGTGTTGCATCTAGGCCGCGCGATTGCGCGATTCGCGCATATTTTTTGCAGATCGCGCATTTTAATGAAGTCAATGCGCGCCAAGTCGCGCATCAAACGATCTTTTCAACTTAATTCAGTTTATTTTCTTCGTATTTTGAACGCTTCTGCCATGTTTGTTTTCACTCGCGGTAATGACTAAAACACAAACTAAATAGCGTGTAGCAGCCGACCGGGTCATCTCGCGTGTGTATTGACGGTTGATCTGTGCACTTAAATAGTATTCGTCAGTGTCTTATTTTTTGTTTATATTTCCGTTCTTGAGCAGACGAAAGCAAAATGTCTAAACGTAAAATTAATGATTTTTTTTCGGTAAGTCAGTCGACTTCTGAAAGTGAACCATCCGCTTCTAAACAAAATAAAAGTGCTGATTCTTGTGAGGAAGAATTTTGTAAAAATTCGGACCCGGTCGATTCTACTACCACTACGGAGCCTAAAAAAAAGAAAGCAAGTAACTTTCAAAAAACGTGGCTAAATGACTGGCCGTGGCTGAAATTAAATGAAAAGGGGGCAATGTTATGCAAATATTGCATCGCCCACGGTCTAAAGAATACTTTCACTACCGGCTGTACAAATTTTAGAACTTCTACATTGACCCGTCACGCCGAATCAGCTGATCACAGGGCAGCATTAATTGCTAATTCTTCATGTAAATCTCTTGAAAAAACTGTGGCCACGGTAATTTCAAAGAAGGAAGAGTCCGTTATTAGTGCTATAAATGCTGTTTATTGGTTGGCTAAAGAGAACATAGCAACTTATAAGTATTCATCACTACTTGAACTTTTAGAAATAGAAGGGTGTGAATCAGTTAAGAACTTAAATTCTGCAAAGAATGCAACTTATAAATCTAGGACTATTGCTGAAGAGATGCAACAAGCAATTGCAGACACTATTCAGACTGACATTCTAAATGATATGAAAAAAGCCAAATTCATTGCTGTCATGACTGATGAAAGCACTGACATTTCAGTAACAGGTAAACTCATAGTGTATGTCAGGTTTGTTGATGAAGAGTTTAATGTAAAATCTCATTTTTTGGGCAATTTTAATGTCTCCGAAAAAGATGCTGGTACAATTACAGAATGTATCATTAAAGCATTGAGAGAAAGAGGTGTTTCCCCAGACAAGATACTTTGCTTAGGATCAGATGGAGCTAGTGTAATGACTGGGAAAAAGAGTGGTGTTGCTGCCCGTCTGAAAAATGAATCCCCTTACCTTATAAACATACACTGCATTGCACACAGACTTGCCTTATGTACAAGTCAAGCTGCCAAGAAAATAGACTACATGCAACAGTACAAGACTACTCTCACTAATCTTTATTACTATTTTAAGTCATCATCTGTTAGGAGTGGTCGTCTGGCAAAACTTCAGCAAATCCTAGAGCAACCCCAAATTAAAGTAAGGGAAATGCATGATATTCGTTGGTTCTCATTTTACAATGTGTTAGAGGGAATTTACAAGTCTTGGAGCTCCCTTGTTTCATACTTTGATGGCACTGAATTGTCCCGTGATCCCAAAGCAACTGGTCTGAGGAAGTCAATACTTCAGTATCAATTTCCTGCTCTTACCTGGTGGTTGATGGATGTTATCCCAATTGTAACCTCACTAAACTTGGTTTTTCAAAAGGAAAACCTTGACATTGGTGCTATCAAACCAGCTGTAGCCACTGCTGTGTCATCTTTAAATTACCTCAAGGACAATGAGGGTCATTATTTTAAAGAATTCAAAGAATTATTTCAGAATGGTGAATTATTTGGCCATAAATTACAAAATGTAGATAAACAAGAAAACAAAGTGGTTTCTACAATGAAAACTTTTATTGACAATTTAATAGAAAATATAAATACAAGATTTCCTTCAGACAGTGTTTCAGTCCTGAATGCCTTTGACTGTCTTGGTTTTAGGGATTTGTCCTTCATACCCAAGTCTGAACTCAAGGATTATGGCACTGACAAGCTAGAAGTGTTGTTAGACCACTATGGGCAGTCCCATGGAAATGATCATGAGCCACTAGTCAATGCTGACCTCACCAGACAGGAGTATGAACTGTTGAAGCAATTAGTCCTTGAGAAGAGGTATCCACGTGATCAACTGCAAGTTATGTGGAAAATTATAAGTGAGTGCCATGGTGAAATCTTACCAAACATGTTGTTGCTGGCAAAAATAGCATTAACTATTCCTGTGCAAACTGCAATCTGTGAGCGTGGCTTCTCTGCACAAAACAACATCAAGGACTCTAGCAGAAATCGTCTAGGGGAAGCACAGCTAATGACTCTAATGACAATTTCCATAGAAGGCCCACCCTTGAAAGACTTCAATGCTTCTAAAGCACTAGTTGAGTTTAAAACTAAGAAAAACAGAAGAATCTTTCAGAACTTTTCAGTGGCAGGAATGAATGAGAACAAATAAACTCTGAAACTCAAAGATAAACATCTAGTCATGTTTACTATAATACCTGTTTTAAAGTTAATAAGAAATGTTGAACTACCAGTAACTGTTTGAAAGTTTGAGATTTGAAAGTCTGTTAAGTACTTTACAGTTAACTATGTTTGAAATTGTAAACTTTGAAAGATCAATGACATTTATGCTTAAGTTTGCATTGGAAATTGATGTTCAGTTTGTTTTCTGTTTGTTTTACAACCAAATACAATTTTAAAATGATCATATTGTTGGTAAATGCTTGTCCCCCACATTTTTTTCAAATCCCCCACATTTTTCAGTTGAGTGGGGGACAATCCCCCATAATTTTGAAATTCTAGATGCAACACTGCCAATCACCATATCAAGTTTGAAGTCCCTAGGCCTAAGGGTTCTTTCATTATTGATCGGAAACCGTTTTTACCTACAAGGTCAATGTGACCTTGACCTTTGACCTCTTAACCCCAAAATCAATAGGGGTCATCTGCTGGTCATGACCAATCATCATACCAAGTTTGAAGTTCCTAGGCCTAAGGGTTCTTTCGTTATTGATCGGAAATCGTTTTTACCTACAAGGTCAATGTGACCTTGACCTTTGACCCCTTAACCCAAAAATCAAAAGTCATCTGCTGGTCATGACCAATCACCATACCAAGTTTGAAGTTCCTAGGCCTAAGGGTTCTTTTGTTATTGATCAGAAACCGTTTTTACACAAGAGGTCAATGTGACCTTGACCTTTGACCCCTTGACCCCAAAATCAATAGGGATCATTTACTGATCATGACCAATCACCATACCAAGTTTGAAGCTCCTAGGCCTTAAAGTTCTTTAGTTATTGATCGGAAACCGTTATTGCTTACAAGGTCAATGTGACCTTGACCTTTGACCCCTTGACCCCAAAATCAAAAGGGGTCATCTACTGATCATGACCAATCACCATACCAAGTTTGAAGTTCCTAGGCCTTAAAGTTCTTTAGTTATTGATCGGAAACCGTTTTTGCTTACAAGGTCAATGTGACCTTGACCTTTGACCCCTTGACCCCAAAATCAATAGGGATCATCTACTGATCATGACCAATCACCATACCAAGTTTGAAGTTCCTAGGCCTTAAGGTGCTTTAGTTATTGATCGGAAACCATTTTTGCTTACAAGGTCAATGTGACCTTGACCTTTGACCCCTTGACCCCAAAATCAATAGGGGTCATCTACTGGTCATGACCAATCACCATACCAAGTTTGAAGTTCCTAGGCCTTAAGGTTCTTTAGTTATTGATCGGAAACCGTTTTTGCTTACAAGGTCAATGTGACCTTGACCTTTGACCCCTTGACCCCAAAATCAATAGGGGTCATCTACTGGTCATGACCAATCACCATACCAAGTTTGAAGTTCCTAGGCCTTAAGGTTCTTTAGTTATTGATCGGAAACCGTTTTTGCTTACAAGGTCAATGTGACCTTGACCGTTGACCCCTTGACCCCAAAATCAATAGGGGTCATCTACTGGTCATGACCAATCACCATACCAAGTTTGAAGTTCCTAGGCCAAAGGGTTCTTTAGTTATCACTCGGAAACCATTTGGTCTACGGACCGACGGACCGACGGACCGACGGACCGACAAGTGCAAAGCAATATACCCCCTTTTCTTCGAAATGGGGGCATAATTAAGTCAATTTGTGACAATATTTATCACCCAGTATGTATTTTTTCAAGAAAAGACATGGAATAAAAAAGTACACGTATTGAGATTTAAAAATATACCTTTTCAGGATAAATACTGCACATCATTATTAAACACTGCCGCTAATTCTCACAGTCAGCACTTATGTCCCAGCTTGCAAGTTATGTAAATTGTATAATGTAAAATGTAATTTTAGATTGTTCCATTGAGAACACTACACATACATGTAAATATCAAATGATTATGATGACCCTGTTCAGCTGTACAAAACTACTGATTGTACCATTTAGTCCTTTAATTTGTTTTATTTGTAGGAATGAAAAAGATCTACTAACAATTGTCATTTAAACAATATACATTATAAAGAAATCATTGAATAATTTATATTTTACAGATTATACATGTATAGATTGAAAACAATTATCAGAAAAAACAAATGCATGAAGTTGAAAATATAAAAACAACCTTGATCTCTTGTTGAAAATGTTAATAGTTTGATATATAACCAGTGTTTCTGCATTAATGTAACTTAAGGTTTTATAAATACCTGATTCTGTTGTATATCTCTTTGTCCCAGGTGATTCTAATTGTTATCATACCAATACTTAAACACTTTAAAGTCTTAAACAAAACAACATCTCCAAAACTGCTAAAATATCAAGTACATCCATTTGCACTCTTTGCTGACCCAGATATCTTAGAATTCAAAATTTACAACAGTTACTGGACAGGTCTATCATTATGTAAAGCAGGGTTTATCTGCTCATCATTTTAACTTTTATTCTTTGAGCGTAAAAGAAAATATCAAATAGCTAATAGATATATAGATTTTAAAGATCATTACAAATTTTTGTACAAAAAAAGATTGCAATTTCCTTCTAGATAAATTCTTCATATGAAATTTATAATGTTATTTCTCCCCAAAATAATCACATGGAACAGCCTGATCTGAAATGACCAGTGGAGTAAATTAGTCATGCACAGATGGTTAGAAAATGCTGGTCAATGAGTTTTATCAGAGCTCTGATCTGTGTAGTGTAAAATCTCTGTGGATGTAGTATTTATTTTCCTAAATATTGGTCAATTTGATAGAATATATAATTATGAGATTCTTTCATGCACTGTTTTGTTTTGTTTATTTATTTATTGTTATCCAAAAACATGAATTCTTACAATTTAAAAATGGCAAGCAATGCCATCCCATCTTGATTATTATAGTGTCTGAATGATTTAATCACAGACTTTAATTAATTTATAGTTAAACTTAAAGCCTGTAATTAAATGGATATTATTTCATTGTACAAATTAACTTCATGTAGATTTATTTAAATAATAATATGTATTTTGAACAATCAATTCATTTATGTCTTTAGCATAGACATTCTTTCTGAGATACCCTTTTCCAACTACCGTACATAAAAAGTATAAATTTAAAGTGTCAAATTTCAAATCATTTACAGTAACTTGCATTAAAATAAATGATGATTGTATATTTTCTTCCTAAATTTACAATATTGTGCTGAATATATAAAGTAAGATTTCTTGCAATTTTTACAAGTTTTTTCCAGCATACTTAGAGAAAGTTTAACACATTTCCAGCATCAAAAAAATCTAAGTTCCACTTTCCATGCTACATGGAAGTAAAGTCCATGGTTTTCCAGGCTTTTACCACAAATGTCCAGCCAATTTCCAGCCTATTCCTGAGCAATGCTGGAAATGGCTGGACAAAAAAAATCCACATAGCATGGAAAAAATACCAATTTTCCATGAATTTCCATGAAATTCCATGCTTTTCCATAGTTTTCCAGGGTTTACCAGCCTCTCTTCCAGGCTTACCCTGGAAAATCTACACCATAATGTACACATATTTTTTACATATTTTTTATACTTTTGATATAATCTTGTAAGGGATTTGTTTCATGTAACATCTTTAATGATAAAATAAAAGGAAGAGTTGTAATTATATATTAATGTTAATGACCAGAACCCACAAGCACAATGCTTATAAATGTTCACTTAATCTTTTTTACATTTACATGTAGTATCAAATTTATATAATTATTCACAAATTATTTATAACTGTTCTAAACTAAGAATAACTAAATTTTATGTTCATTTAACTAACTTTCTACAACAATGAAAAACTGATTTCTTCAATAAAAAATAAATTCTTTAAATACAAATCACTTTATACAAATTTAAACATCTACTTATTGCAGTCAGGGGTGTAACTTATAGCAGTTATCATTTTTATAACTGAATTAAGTTATAAATTTAAGATCTACAGGTTGCTTCCCTTTGGCTATCCTTCACTTTTATATCATTTCTATAAATAGGTTAACAAGGGCACTAAATCACGCACGCTTCATTTTATTGATCTTATGTCCTGATAAGCTCCCTTTACTTTATTGTTCACAGGATTTTCAGTTCAAGATAAAAAAAATGAATTTTAAATATCTTGATGACAAAGTTGGTTAAGTCATCGGGAAGCAATATAATTGAAAATTGCAACGAGTTTGAGTCTCACTTCTAACTTTTTCGCTATTTTTCCAAGTTTACTAAAGATGAACATGCATTTGAAAATAAAGGTAGTTTTGTTATACTATCGTATGATTTTAATATACCGGTAATAATATTTTTTATCCTGTGTATTGTATATATTGCAGTAGTCATGTACTTGTGCAGTGCACTAGTATTTCAACAATACACTTTACATTTCTTTACGTCAAGAAGAAATGTAACATACACGTATTCGTCTTACAGAAAATAATTATTATTTTCGCGTATAAAGTACAATCCGAACCAGCAGGGGTGAGTAACCAGAAGCATTCGTTAGAGTAACGATCATCGTTAAGCCTTGGTTAAGATCTAGTTAGTAATTTACCCTCTAACCTAAAACGTTCGTTATACCAAAAATTCTAACTAAACTGTCGTTAAATAACGAATACTTCGGAGTACACGTTAGACCTTCGTTGAAGGAAAAACAACGTGTGAAGCTCTTTCAAGAAACTTTTTATGAGTTTATATTATTTTTATAGCGTATTTTCTTCCTATTTTCCTGATAATAAGTCCTTGATATGGTCTTACAATCTGTATATGTCTTAATGTGTAAAGTTATTATTTATTTATTAATTTATTATTAGTATTATTATCATCATTATTATTATTATTATTATTATTATTATGACTGCATTCATTTTCAAAATAAAACGTTACCGTACTCAATAATCTTGAGTGAGCATTTTCCGTAAATGATTTTTAGAATTATTCAAAATATCTTTATGCAAGTGATGTTGTTTTTTTCATTCCGCAGACAATGGCCGACTTTTGACTCTCATATATTTGAATGCTTCTAAGGAGGTTGATTAATTTCTTCAACTAACATAGAGAACACAAAGCGACCTGTTGATCTCTTGATAGTTACAGTAGCCCTTATCTCTATACAAAAATTATATATAATTATATAGAATCTAGAGATAAGGGCTATATCACTAATATACGTATATTTTATAAAAGCCAGCAGATGGCGCTAGGGCAGGTTTCTTATTAATTTTATGCATGCTTCACTTCAGGGACCCTCTTTCAAAGATTTAAGATTAATTACCAAATGCATTAAAACAACACTTGGCATGTTTGTAGGAATATATATTTTTGATAAAGATTGACCAA